AAAAAAATTTTGTTTTACCCCAATTAATTTAGGGGTTTTTCTTCCAGGGATTATAATTTTGGGGTATTGAAAGTATATAATTCGGTTCATCATTTTTAGGGACAACTTTTAATGTACTTTCATACGAGCTATCGATACTCTATATACGGTAAGATTTTTGAAAAAAATTTTGTTTTAGCCCAATCAGGTGTGAACGCAAGAGACAATCTCAAAAAACTCAAGACGCAAAACGCAACGCAAGGCCAAAATTTAACGCAAATAACGCAAGACGCAAATAATACCAAAAATAATTACCCTCAAAATTTTATCATATTATATCTTTTGGTATATTGATTGGGTACAATTCGTCTTGGTAAATTAAATACAATAATAAGTGAAGTTTCAAATACCATTTGATTTGTATTTGAAAAAAAATTTTCATTTTTTTAATTATTCTTGACTAAAAGTAAATATCGTTTTGGCTTGTTTAAAATAATTTTAAGACAAATAATTTTAAAAAATTTTAAACAAAAAAATTTTCTGGAACCAACCCGGGCCTATAACAGTTCAAGTTCCTTATGTCTGGCTTTAGAATAATAAGATAAATTATTTATATTTTTCGCGTAGGCGAAAATTTCGAAAAGCTTGGAAGGCTAAGAAGCTGGATTTTTTTTCAATTTTGGAAAATTACTGAGCTACCATGTCTTTTTCCTTTATAGTTCGTTTTAATTGCTGAAATTAAAACAGTTTAAATGCTCTATTTGAATCATCCTTACCCTGTTTAGTTCTAGCCTTGCTTTAGCTCAAGCATTTCCGGCTCCTGCGCAGTTTCATTTTTTTGCATGTTCAATGTTACCGTATTCTGAAACAGAAGCAACACTTTAAGAAGAATTAAATCATAATTTATTTTTATTTAATTTATTTAATTTTCAATTTATTTTATTAAATTATTAAATTTTATTTTATTTAAATTTAATTTTCAATAAATTTTCAAATCGATTTCTTAATTATTTAATTCCATAATCGATAGTAGAATTTTGTAAATTATTAAACAATATAGAATAATAAAGAAATTTTATTTTAAATCTGTATAAAAATTAACGAGTCAGGTGCTGCTGCTTTAATCAGGGGTTGCTGACAATTTTAAAAATTAATTAAAAATTGGCAATTCGAGATCGAGACTTTTTGTTAGTTTTGAAGTAATAATAAAATTAAAAAAAATTTAGAAATAATTTTTAATTTTAAGGGCAGATTTTTTTGTTTCAGTCTTCGATGTTTAGCTAAATGTTGGATTTATAAAATACATACATATGTTTATTCGGAATTTATGGGCTCCGAAGTCCAAGCTTCACTCTTACAATTCTTATGACGCTCCGTGAGCTAATTCCGAGATCTGAGGCTATTTTTCGCATCGATTGTTGCGAAGAACGGCGAATTCGGCATCTGACCTTGTTCACGTTTTCAGGCGTAACTGCGGTTACTGGTCGGCCACTACGAGGACGGTCCTGAGTATTGCCAAGCTCCTGATAGCGTTTTATTGTTTTAGAAACTAACTTGCGACAGATGTCGAGACGATGTCACATTCGGCTCCCAGCCGTCGATTAACCTTTTTGCACCAGCTAAAGGAGAGAAATATCCATATCCCTGCTGTTTTACTGGTTAGCACTATTGAATCCATTTAAATTTTGAACAAGTTTTTTGAAAAATTTTTTCAATAAACATTAAAGTTTATGACCATTATTTCCAAGCAAATGTTTAGAAAGTCTCGAGCGCTAAAATCATCGACTCTCTTTCCCTCGATTTAATCATGTTAAGAGGGAAAGACAGAGATTTAGCGTAAAATTCACTGACTGAAAGGAAGAGAAAAAAGAAAGAAGGGAGGGTAAAGGCTTAGTGTAATTTACACATTATTCTAATTATTTATTTTAAGGAGTTAGAGAAATAGAAAATCTCTTCCCACAACCTCCTTCCTCTAACCTCCCTCACTCCCATATGTCTTATGTGGGAGTGAGGACCGCCCCACGAAAGAGGGTGGAGTGATCGAATCTTTTAGAAAATTTTTGTCCATAAATAGCTGCCAAAGACAGGCAAAAGCTCATCATTCTCATTAAACTAATTTATAAATTTAAACATTATAGGAATTAAATAATAAAAATTTTAAAATCATACCCCTATGCCCTTTCAGATGACTGAAGCTTTTGGGGATTAATAAAGATCTTCTGTTAACTAAGCATGAAAAAATTCCCATAATTTTATTGTTTTCTTCATAGGATTACATGAATTAAGTAATTACATAAATTAAAAACATAATTTAGATACATATTTCTTAAAAAAACAAACTTCTAAAAGCATCCAACTAATATGAAGCAAAATTCTGCTTCATATTTTTTAATGAAATGCATGTGCATTTTACTATGTGCTCTGCTATATACTGTAGCAGCGGAAGGAAACAAGTTCCATGTCCAAGTTCTACCAGCTGAGTATTCTTGGAATGTCTCTGTTAGATGCAAGGACTGCCATTATATAAATCCTCAGGTATCTAGATATATTTAAAAAATAAATCAAAATATATTAGAACACAGATGGATCGAATTATCTAACGTTTGATGTCAACAGGTACGACAACAAGGGAATTAAGCAAATAAAAGTATTTATCCAGTCTGCTGGTGTAATTAAAGACCAGATCCGGGTATTATTTTGAAATTTTATAATTATGTATTTTTTGTACATATGTAGTCTCAAGAATGGACTCTTAATTTCAGACGAAATGGAAATGAAGAAGGGAATTTTTTTGATTTTGGTAAACTACACCAATTCAATTTTGGTCAATTCGAACCTGAAGGGCAGAATTTTTTCCTAGAGATAAAGGTCTGTATATTTTATTGTGTTTGTTTATTATGAAACAGCTCAGGCAATCACTCAATGGACATTGTGAGAAAATTTCACCAGAGGATTCAAAGCTTGAGATTTTGAATCCTCTGGTAAGAATGAGACAATATAGATCTCGAAATCTAGTGAATCAACTAAATATTCTAACAATTTCAGACAATAAATGCCGACCAAGTTCAGCAAATTCCTGAAGAGTTTAAAAAATATTTTGCATCTATTTCCGGATTCAATGAAGAGATTGAATTGACCTATAATCAGTTTTATGGTTCTGAACTAATTCGACTTGATTTGATGGGGAAGACATCAAAACCCACGCTAAAAAAGACGTTATCTTCGCTGTCTCCAATATCATCCTCAAAAAAGTTACTTCGATCAAGCAGCAGCAAATCAGGGACAACAAGCCGCAGCGAACCTAGCGCAATTGAAAAATACATTACAAAATACGCTAATCCAGAGCTGAAAGTCAGCATATATATGGTGATATTTTATTCATAAATTATTTATTAATGATCATTTATAATTTAATGATAATTCTATTTTTTTAAATTGCTAGAAAAAATTATTATCATAATTCACTAAAAAATGAAGCATTTACCTAAAATTTAATATATTTAGAAGGTTAAATGTGGTATGTGCGGTTCCGATGAGAATCCATTTGCTAAGGATGTGGTCTACAAAATTGATTATGCCGTGAAATATTTATTTTAGTTTTTTGTTAATTAAGCATTTTAGGGCTATTATCGTTGTAAATCATGCAAAGATGAATATATGAATACTAAAAAGTAAAATTTTACCATATTTTTTGTAATGTTATATTTTCTGGCATAATCCAGAGAGACGGATGCCACAAACCCATCGCGTTTTTGCGGTTTACTAATTTAGCTACACTACTAATTTAGCTATGAGTCCGCCTAATAATTTAGTTTTGAGTTCGCCTACTAATTTAGGCTATAAGTTTAGTTCGACATTTTTAGCCTCTTTGTTTCTAACTAGCGTGAAACAAAACCGTTTAGCTAAACGGTATACGGTAAACGGGTTTTTTGGTGAAATTAAACGTTTTGTCTCACCGTATTTCTAATTTTAAAAATCACAAGACTAAACAAACTCTTGCAGTTAATCTAATGGAGTTTAAAATGCTTTCACAAACATTTAAATTTTTATAAATTTGAAAAATTTTTTTAATGAATTAAGTGTCTACCATTCACCAACAATAGAAAAGTTTAAACTTCCCTCATTGAGCCGTACAATCAGAAATCCAATTCTACAGGTATTTAAAATCACAAGTAAAACTAAAAACACTTTTAAAGAACGGCAATGGCCTTGGATTTACCTACATATTTGATTTTGGTGAGGGGGAGACAGGTGAAAACATCAATTACGTTCAACTTGTCGATGTGCCTCCAAATAACTCACATAATGAAAGCACCTCAAGCCATGTTCCAGAATATGGTTTTCAAACTCCGGAGCATCCTACAAATATTTTTACTGATTTCCAAAATCTAAATTTGGGAGGTGGAAGCTATGGAAATGGTGGAAACGAAACAGAGAGGCCTAATTTTGCAGCTATGCATGGAGGGCAAGGAACTCGGTATGTTTAATATGCTATTTTCTGAAATGTATTTCAAAATATTTTTATAAACCTGAGGGTTTCTGCCTCTAGAATATAAACTTTCTGATATGAAATTATTTACGATTTTTGTAGTAGTAGAAACAGAGTCACATTTTTACTAGTGACTTTCAAGACCAAAAATTTTCCAAAACTCAAGACCAAGACTTGACCCCAAGACTCAAGACTGCGACTAGCCAGCGGCAAACTTTTGAATAAAAAATAATTTTATTAGTAGTGGATTTAAGTTTATGTTTTTAGACTTAATTTTGATGAAGCAAGTAACAGCTCCGGAAGTAGTGGAAAGAAAAGTAGAGGAAGACCTCCCAAGCATGTAAGCCCTCAAACGACTCATGGAGAGTAAGTTCAATTGGATTAATTATTCTTAATATGTATCTAAAATTTTCTGCCCTCATTGACTTTATGGAAATAAAAAAATTATTTAAATTCATTTTAAACCTTTATCCCGCCAATTTTAAGTGCTCAACCAAATTTGGTCAAAACGCGGAAGGGAGCTCAACCAAAGATGAAAAAAGTTTCTAGTATGCCTGTTGAAAGAGGTAATTTAGAGCCTGAAGATGATACAAATAATAGTGGTGATTCGTCAGACAGTAATTCTGTTTACAGTAGTAAGATAAAAATTATAGATAAATAATTTTATCTAAATTATTAAGATTTTGGAGGCGGATTGGATCATGATGGTCAATCTGTACAAACGAGTGGTGGAATGTCTTATCCAGGATATGGATTTCACAACAACGGTGAACAATATTCGTATGGTGCATTTGGAGGAATGTACAATCACGGAGGTGCCGATAAAACCTTTCATAGAAGTGCATCTATGCCTGTACACAATAACGGTGAACAAAATTGGGATGACAATCACGGAGTACATACTTGGACTGGCCATGACGGAGGACACAGTTGGAATGAAAATAACGGAGAGCAAGGTTGGAATGGCAATCACGGAGTACATACTTGGACTGGCCATGACGGAGGACACAGTTGGAATGAAAATAACGAAGAGCAAGGTTGGAATGGCAATCACGGAGTACATACTTGGACTGGCAACAACGGAGGACACAGTTGGAATGAAAATAACGGAGAGCAAGGTTGGAATGGCAATCACGGAGTACATACTTGGACTGGCAACAACGGAGGACACAGTTGGAATGAAAATAACGGAGAGCAAGGTTGGAATGGCAATCACGGAGTACATACTTTGGAACAACAAGGATACCCACCATTATATGGCTCTAATAGCAGCCATAATGGTTATGCCCACTCTATGCATCATGATCATTTTGGAGGTATTTCTGATCATTAAAAATTTACTTACAATTATTGCCAAGAAATTTTTTTTTTAAATTTTAAATTATAAATTTTTATTCATACCAAAGGGTATATACTATACCGCTGAAATGGATGAGTACAAAAAAAAATAAAAATATTGTGAAAAATAAATATATTTAAGTTAGAATTAGAAGGAATGATAGTCATTTCGAGAAATTAACAAACAAAAATATTTAAGCTGTTTAAAGATATTTTGAGTTTTGCTTAAAAGAAAAAAAATATATATTGGGAATGAGAAAATATGTAAATTATGTTGGAAATGAAAAAAAATAAATAAATTTAGAAATGAGAAAATAACTGAATTTAAATCTATGTATAAGTATGTCAATTTTGGGGGGTGTGGAGATTGTCATAAAGAAAAATAAATAAGGTTTATATTGCCGGTCAAAACGTTAATCTGCTTGTGAATATAGTAGTTTTTTGAATTTAAAATTAAAAGACGTAATTTTTTAAAATAATTATGGTGATTATTCAGGGATTCTTTAATATTTAGGGTTGAGATTTGTATTGGCTTTAGGTTATTATTTTATTTTTTTAAGTTATTATTTTTTGTTTTTGAAGAATTTGGGGCAGTATGGGTCTTAAATTGGTCTTGAAACTATTTAATGTGTGGTCTGTAAAAATATTTTTTGGAATTATGTTCCAAATATTTACTGTTCTGTTTATAAAGGAATTTATTGTTTTGGCGTTTTTATCAGAAACCTGGATAATATAATCGTGCTTTCTGCTTGGGCGTGTATTTAAGGTGAAAAGCTCATTTGGGATCAAACTTGTATGGTTAAATAAAATTTTGTATAATGTTATGACATCTATATAATACCTTCTAACTTGTAGCGGCTCGAGTTGGAATAATTTTAATCTTTCAGTATAGTTAAGTTTCTTCCTTTTACATTTTAAGAGAGCGATCTTAGTGAAGAATTTTTGTACCCTTTCTAAATCCTTAGTTAATTCCTTTGAAGTTGGGTTCCATATTGGAGATCCATATTCTAGGGTAGGAAGAATATATGTTTTAAATATGTTACCCCAAGTTTTGGGATTGGATGTATGGATGTGACGTAGTACTTGGTGGGACCTTAAAAAGCCAAGTTTGCATATATTTTTAATGTGATTTTTGAAGGTAAGTTTATTGTCGATAAGGATGCCTAGGTCTTTTACTGTTTCGACGTGTTGTATTTCATGGTTTATAAGATTATACGAATTTTTTGGATTTTTTGTACCTATATTGAATATAAAAGATTTATTGAGAGATATATTTAGGCCCCAATCTTTTACCCATGAATTAAGGATATCGATTTTCTCCTGTAGGAGATTGTCTTGTGTTTTATAAATATGGGTTATCTTAATGTCATCAGCGTATAGTGATGTAAAAACATTATCCCCTAATTTTGATGGGAGGTCATTTATATAGATCGTAAATAATAGGGGGGCTAAGATCGAGCCTTGTGGAACCCCGGAAAATATTGGTAATGTGTTTGATTCATCATTATTGATTCTTACAGAGAAGGTACGATTAATGAGAAAGTTACTTATCCATCTGTGGATTTTGCCCCTAATTCCATAAGAATATAGTTTGTTCAGGAGGTGTTTCGTGGGGACCTGATCAAAAGCCTTTTGTAGATCAATATATAGTACATCAATATTTTTTTTGCACAGAAGGCCCTCATACCATTTATTAAGGGTTAGTATAAGTTGGGTTGTTGTTGACCGTTTAGGTAGGAAACCAAATTGATTTTTGGATAGTAAATTATTTTCTAATAGGAAGTTCAACACTTCTGAATGTATTATTTTTTCAAAAATTCTACAAGTAGTAGAAGTGAGTGATATAGGTCTATAATTTTGGATCTCTGATTTATTTCCATTTTTAAATATAGGTATGATTGTTGAGTGTTTCCATTTGTGTGGGATTTCCCCGGTGTCTAATGAAATACGAAAAATCTCGCATAGGTTCGGAGCAATTATGTCGTGGAAATTTTTAAGAATCTTGTAGGGTATGTCTTCTTGTGTGGAGGAGTTTCTGTTAGGTAGTGCTTTAAGAATGTTGGCGACAGTTATTATGTCAAAGTCTATGTCTTCGATTTGATTTTGACATATTACAGGAAACGTGTTTTTTAAATTTTGGTTAGTTGGTATATTGTTAAATAATGCGGAAAAGTGTGTTGCAAAAGCTTGCGATTTTTTTGAATCTTCAATTAAATATTCATTGTTATTAATAAGTACTGGAATAGTTTGCTTGGATTTTATATGTGTTTTTATATGCTTGTGTATTAAGTCTTTGTTGTTAGAGATCTTGGAAATAGAGTTATTTTGATAATTTCTGACTAGGTATTTAATTTTATTGGACATTTTATTGTATTCGATTTTTAATGAAGGGTTTTGTTTCATTTGTTTGAAGAGAGTATATTTATCTTTAATTGCTTTTTGTATATGGGGTGGGTAATGGTGGCCTGATTGGGATTTGTTTAGTGTAAGAGGAATATTTTGCTCAATTATTGTTTGAAACAGTGCAAGAAAGTTATCAAATTTTTCGTTAACTGAGTTGGATATGGTTGGGAAAGATTCCATTAATGAAAAGTTATATGCTACGATTGGTTTTATTTTGTTTATGTTAGATTTAGTAAAAGCACGATACAAGGTATTTTGGGTTAGATCTTTTGTAAATTTGATATCAAAATCTACCCGGAAGTGGTCGGAGGTTGAAAACCCATCCTTAACTTGAACATTATCTATTAAATTTATTTGGTTAGTGATAATTAAGTCGAGAATTGAGCCCGAGATGTGTGTTGGGTCTTTAATTAGTTGTTTAAATTGATAGTTTGTTATAAAATTTAAAAATGTTTCGTCCAGGGCTAGCGAGGAGGAAAGAGTATTCCAATTTATTTTTGGTTTATTGAGGTCACCGCATATGATTGTGTTAAAAGTATAGAATTTTTTGAGAGTTTTAATTAGCTGTTCATTTGAATTTTTTGTGAGATTGGGTGGAAAGTATATTAATATAAGTCGTAAGTTTGAAGAACCTTTTTTTATAATGTCAATAATGATTAATTCGTATCCAAATTGGGTTTGGGTATAAACCTCAGCCGCTTTTATTGGATTTAGTGTTAGTATTGCTACTCCTCCTCCCTTTTTTTCTTTTCAGAGGAGCGATTACAAGTAAATACTGTGTATTTTCCTTTGGCATTTAATTCATTAGAAAGCATGATATTATCGTGTATCCAGGTTTCTGTGACGCAAATTATATCATATTGATTTTGTAATATAAAGTTTTTAAATTCCTTAATTTTGTTAATAAGGGATCGGCTGTTTATTAGAACAGATTTTAGGCTTGTAAATTTTTGTTTGTTTTTATTATAGAGTGTAATACTTGTATTGTTTATTTTAGAACAGTATGTATTTGTAAAATTTAAGGGGTTTTGAATGTGGCTGTGGTTGAGATATCTTTTACCTAAATATTTTAGAATCCCTGGATTATCCTATATAAGTGTCTTGCGGAGATTGGGAATATTTTCGCGTAACGTAATAGTGTTGGCATAAATTATCCAGTCACCTTTGTCTTCAGACCTCTTTTTTGTGCATTCAGCTTGCAAATTCTTTCGAGCCGTGCGTTCTTCCAATGTCAAAGATTGTCTGATGCCCAAATTGCGGAATAATTGTACTTCTTTAATTTTGTTTCGTAGTTTGGACCAAGAGTGTAGAGTGGATTTCTGAAAATAAGAAGACGGAAAGACGACCTTGAGAAGGGGTGGAGCACCTTTCTTAGTTGGGTGGTCCTTGCCTAGCCTATATACCGACTGTGGGCAAATCTCGATACCCAACTTATCGAGAATACAATTAACATTTTGCTTATCATCGTTAGCTCGTGCAGAGGGTAAAGATTGGGTGGATGAAGGGAGACCTGAAATAACCACTGAGCGCTTCCTTTCCTTTTCGGAGATAGCATTTTCTATTTGTTGTTGGGAAATTTCTGGATGGTGAGTCATTTCTGTGATTATACATGCTGCAGTTTTTAATAGGTTATTAAGTTGGGAAATGATGGTTTTGGCTGCTGGTGATATTGAGGGGTCTTCCTGAATGGGATCAAGGCTAAGATTGGCAATTTGGTCCAAAAATTGTTGTCTTTTTGCTGGTTGTTCAGGCGAAGAAGGAGTGAATGGACGTTTTATTGGAATTTTGTTGGAATTAGAAGCAGAGTTAGAATTAGAAGGAATGATAGTCATTTCGAGAAATTAACAAACAAAAATATTTAAGCTGTTTAAAGATATTTTGAGTTTTGCTTAAAAGAAAAAAAATATATATTGGGAATGAGAAAATATGTAAATTATGTTGGAAATGAAAAAAAATAAATAAATTTAGAAATGAGAAAATAACTGAATTTAAATCTATGTATAAGTATGTCAATTTTGGGGGGTGTGGAGATTGTCATAAAGAAAAATAAATAAGGTTTATATTGCCGGTCAAAACGTTAATCTGCTTGTGAATATAGTAGTTTTTTGAATTTAAAATTAAAAGACGTAATTTTTTAAAATAATTATGGTGATTATTCAGGGATTCTTTAATATTTAGGGTTGAGATTTGTATTGGCTTTAGGTTATTATTTTATTTTTTTAAGTTATTATTTTTTGTTTTTGAAGAATTTGGGGCAGTATGGGTCTTAAATTGGTCTTGAAACTATTTAATGTGTGGTCTGTAAAAATATTTTTTGGAATTATGTTCCAAATATTTACTGTTCTGTTTATAAAGGAATTTATTGTTTTGGCGTTTTTATCAGAAACCTGGATAATATAATCGTGCTTTCTGCTTGGGCGTGTATTTAAGGTGAAAAGCTCATTTGGGATCAAACTTGTATGGTTAAATAAAATTTTGTATAATGTTATGACATCTATATAATACCTTCTAACTTGTAGCGGCTCGAGTTGGAATAATTTTAATCTTTCAGTATAGTTAAGTTTCTTCCTTTTACATTTTAAGAGAGCGATC